CTAAACAGTCATTATTTCCAAGTACCTCTACTTAATTAGAACTACTGGAGCCTCTGGACATGGGATGAGAGCTGTGCTTTTTAAAAGGTAGCTCTCCATAACAGACAAGACGCCTTTTCCACACCCCACATCATAAAGAACTTAGGCAAGCACTAAGTGCAACGGAGCACTTGCTTGACAGCCTTATTAGAAAACACCTTAGAGAAGTACATGAAAAATACCGTATTCATCTGAAGCTGCAGGGAACAATGGAAGAAAAAAAATTAGCCGACTCAGAAATTGGCTAAGGCACTGGGTCTTCTGAGCCTTCTATTTCCTTCAAAATACAAAGGGATCTTTAAATACCAAGTAGTAAGCGGGACTCTGTTTATATCTTATCTTAAAAAGCCACAAGCAGAACAGTGCACCCTAATAACATCTTTTGCTCAGAAATTATTCAGAAGCAAGGGGGCCACCTGCTGAATTCCCGGTACCATTTTCTGCTGTATCCTGGAAGAGTTTCTTTGAAAGTTTCACAGCAGAGTCCTTTTCTGTGTCAGCTTCGCTAGGCTTGTGAACCATGGCAGTAAACCTCTGAGTAGGTTGGGCTTCAGGTGTATATTACAGCAGACCTACCATGACTGCAAAAAGTAAAACCACTACACCAATCAATGTAATCTATTCAGGACTCAGAAATCCTGTAGACAATATCATCCAACTGAGGTGTAAGTAATATCTCTGTATCATAATTCATTTCCTTAAATAGAAATTTTCAGAGACAGAAAATTTGCTCATAATATGTTCATGAATATAACTTTTCAAATAAAATATAAAAACTCAAAGCACAGAATTAAGTCTCTAAAGTAAGCAGCTACCTTCTTCAGCTTACTGTCCATTATCCTTAGTAATGTTGGCATCATGTTCAAATTCAGCATTTCCTTCCTGTGCAACTCCATCACAACTCCATTGATACAGGATTCACTGCTTCTAATTCCACTCTTTCTGAATTCATTACCACAACTTCAGAGGCCAGCTTCACTATATTCATAGCTAAAGTCCCTTTCCAATTTGCGAAAGTGGGCAAAGGAAAGTAGAATTTTTAAAAGATTTTATGACCATGTCGCTACACACTGACACGCACAAAATGCACTACCTTTTTAGTCCTCCATATCTTGTTTTCCTTAGTACTGCTGCAGCTAAAGGTCTCTCTGCATACCAGGAAGAAAGATCAGAATTCTTTGTGGCACAGTAACAATGAAGTATGCTAAATAACTACTACACAAACACCAAGACTGAAAAAATCCTTGTTCATATAGCCATGAAATTTGATAAAGGTATTTAAAATATTCACCACTGTTCTCATTTCTTAAAGCATAGCCTTAAGTCTACTGACATTTCATGGTCTGTTAATACAGAACATTTTAAATATAGAAAGGTACATGTTATCCATTAAAGACCGTGTAGGCTCATGCATAAGATCACTCATAGTGTAAAAATATAAGATTGTTTAATGATACAAACTATAAAATTGAATCTTCAAGGCTGCTTCCAATTCAGCATTTTAAAAGACTGCAAGACATAACTTGTACCTTTCAAAGTTATAATCAGGAGGTATTAAATAAAAGCACAGCACAGGAAATACAAATAAAGGCCACTTGCTTAAGACTTCCCTCTGATGCATAAGAAGTGGTCCCAAGTTTAACTCAAGAGTTGGAGAGTTTGTTTGCATTGTGCGGGGTATTTTTCATGCTTAAAACAATTCTACTACCTCAGTCAATACGAAATCTCAATATGCATGACTCCCACATCCACAATGCAAAAATGTATCAGGATGGTGTTGTCTGCTGTTCACTGTTCCCAACTTTATGCACACTGATAGGCAAAAAAGATATCATCTGGAAAGTTATAAAGTTGTAGGCACATACAGATTACTCACTGCTTTCAGTATTTAATAGCAAACTATTATCCTCTTTGTCAACTAAGCATCCCTTATTTATCTCCTAAAGTCTGGAGTGCTGTATCAAAATAGGAAAATAGCATATATAAACCAGTAGTAAACCCTAAATATCAAACATATAAAAGAGTTATAGAGCTAAAATTACCCAGCATTAAACATTATCAAGCACCTTTACCCCCATGAGCTGCCCAATACTCCCTCTCCACAGGGCTCAGCCTATGACCTCAAAAGCCTGACTAGCGGCAAAGAGTAGCCACTAAAAAAGGCAAAAATAAAGAAAAGAAGAAAGAAAAAAGAAAAAGAAATGTGTGTAGACAAATGAAAGTTTTCCCTCAAGAATTTGGAATGAAAGCTAAGGATTGCTAAAATTCAGTCCTTTTTATAGAAATGGTCCTGAAACATATAAAGCATACCAACTCCTGGTCATATGAATCTCAGAAACAAGTAGTTCTGTCTTAGCAAAAAGCAATACAAAGTGCTCTTGCTACTTTTTTCAAACTCCGGAAAGCTCACATGAAAGAATGTTTCTACATAGTGAAAGAGATTTGAGTTTATCTTCAATTTTGTAATTTTTTTCCTTTTCCACTAAACCCCAGATAGTTGGCTTAGAACTAAGATGCTTCAATGTAAAGCAAAACCCTTTTTAAAAAATGCATCTTTAAGTAATAAGAAACATCAATACAATTTTTTTGGTCTTCTTCTCTGTTACCTGCATATGAACAAAAATTACTCCCACCAGGTAACAGGACTATGTTTAAAATGATGGTTTGCTAGTGAAGTCAGACAATTTTATTTCATTAAGTATTTAGACTGAGAGGAGTGGTGTGCATACTCCTATGCAGGTAGTCAGAAAGAAAGGGAAAGAAATTGGGAAGTGAAGGATTTGGAGTGTAATGCTATTTGCAGGGCATTATATTCTTTTATTTCTGACACTACTTGACTTGAACATCAGTTGTTAAAGTTCTACTAAATAAAAAGTTTTTACAATTAAGACTGTTCCCATTTTAGATCTTTAACATCTTTTCCTTTGGATCTAATTTTGTACAGTTAACGTCTCCTGCATTTCGGGAGGTTCCACGCACACAGGTGGATCAGCTCCACGGGTCAGAGAACACAAACACAGCTTGGCCACTGTCTAATCGATGATACCTGCGGCACAGTTGTATTATATTGCTCACGACAGATACAGCAGCACAAGGGAAGAACCCGCAGGTGCTATCAGAGTTCTGGTGCCCAACAAAGAAGAGATTTTGAAAGTGTAATGAAATATTTGTCACTTTCTGTCACTGAAAGTCAAGAAACAGAATCGTTTCCTAAAGGTATTTAGAGTGCAGGTGTGCTACGCGGCATAACACGGCACTGCCAAAGTCCCACCGTGGTTTCAAGGTGCCCCCGGTACTGGTGCCGGTACAGGTGGGTGGCAGGTCCGTTCCCCTCCATATGTCACATTCTGAGACCGGGCACAGTGACAGGGAAAGTCCAGTCGAGACTACGGACGCGGTTGCGATACCAGTGACACCGCGGAGAGGCGGAGGAAAGGCAGCGCGGCTTCGGCGGCACCCGGGCGCCCTCCTCACGGCGGCTCTCCCGGCACCCCACTGCCCCTCGCCCCGGCGGCGGGGGCTCGGTGGAGAACCCGCCACGCAGCCCAGGACAACCACCTGCCCCTCCGAAACGCCTTTAGCGACTCACGAAGACCGTCTACAGTAGCTCAACGGATCTGCAGACGCCGCAGGACCGCCCCAAACTTCACGCGTGTTCTGCCTAGATGTCGGTCTCGACAGGTAGTTCACAACACGCCGCAGACAAACTCGCAAGTGCATTTTTTTTGCAGGCGAAACCAGAAGGATGATCGCTTCCCTCCTCCGCCGCGTCAAAACCTTGGACAAGGTACTAAACCGCGACACCTGGAGCCGACACAGCGCCTTCCCCTCTACCAGCCTCCAACTTCCCTGCAAAGCGTCAGAAATTAACCTCTCCGCGGGCACGAGCCCCAGCCGCGGTCCACGGATAGCCCCAGCTAAGCGGCAACCCCCCCGCCCCACCGCGGAGCGCCAGCACCGCCCCCAGCCCCGTCCCCGCGGCCACACGCCGGCAGCCGCCGACGGAGAAACTTTTTCGAGCCGCCCGGCGAGGCAGCGCCCACGCGGCCGCCCCGCAGAGCGGGACCGAGCCGGAGCCCACGCACCGCGCCCCCCGCAGCCGCGCCGGCCGCCCCGCCGCGTGGGCATCCGCCCGCACCGCTCCTACCGTGCGGGGGGCAAGTGAGGGAGGGAGCGAGGAGGTGGCAGTTACCGGCGAGCGAGCGCCCTTCTTGCAGAGCGGTCCCCTGAAGACGCCTTTGATGCCGCGGTAGTGCCCGTTGCTGAGGTGCCGGGAGCTGATGACCAGGTAGCACGCCATGCGGGCGCCCCGGGCGGGCGGGCGCGGGGAGGTAGGGCAGCCCGGCTCCTCCGCGGCGGCGGCGGTGCTGGCCCCGCCGGAGCAGAAGCCCGCATGAAGGAGCGGGCGGAACCGCAGCAGCGATCTCCCCGCTCCCGTCTCATCCAGCGCCCGGGTGAGCGCTGCCAGCAGCAGGATGCACTGAAGGCGGCAGCAGCGGCGGCAGCCAGAGCACATCTGACGGAGCGCGGAGGCCAGTCCGCATGCTGCTCCGCGGGTGGGAGACGGGCCGGCGAGAAGAAGGGCAGAGCACAACTTGCACAGTCCGCCGCTGCTACGGCCCCTTCCCTTCCCTTCCTCTCTCTCTCCTCCTTCTCCTCCTCTTCCTCCTCTTCAGACCAGGCCACCGGCACCCGACATCCGGAGGGGAGTTTCTCCGCGGCAGCTGGAGCGGCGGCTGCTCCCCATGGCTCTCCCGTGGGCCGGGCTGGGTGGTGGATGCCGACGAGCGCCGCGCAGGGTCCTCGCCGCCCCACTCCACTCCTGCCGTGCCGCCGCAGTCGGCGCCGCGCCTCGCTCACCTCCGCTTGCGGGGGGGGGGGAGGCGGTGCGAGGGGGCGGAGGAGGGGTAGGGCCGGAGCGGGGGCGGCGGCGGGGAGGAGGACCTGGTCCCTCACCCTGCGGGGAGAAGGGGCGGCCGCCGCCGGCAACCTCGGGCGGAGCGGGCCGGAGAAAGAGGCAGGGCGTGCTGACCCCCTCCTCGTCCGCTTCGCCCAACTTTCCCGCCTTCGGTGTTGACAGGTAACGTCCCTTACCTGCCTGCCTCTGGCTGCGCTTCCACCTGTCCCTCGCATCCCCTCCACTCTACCCCCTTCCCTTCCGCTGTCCCGCGGGCTGGCCCTCGCCCCGACCCTCCGCAGCCAGACGGGGTGAGGGGAAGCACCGCTGCGCCTGTGCCCGCTGACGGCTGGGAGCGGAGACCGGCCCGGGACTGCGGCGGGGCTGCGCGCAGCTGTCCGGGCTGCCTGGACACCCCCGGCTTGTGGCTGCGTTTGTCTCCATCGTCCCCCCGAAAGCTCGTGATTTTAGGTGCGTGGTGTCATTTACGACCTAAATGATTAACGCAGGTATGAAAATCTTCCACCACTAAATAGCTGGAACATGGTAGAGTGTTCTCCCCTTCTGCAAGACAGAGGCGTGATGTACCTCGGACCCGCCTGTGCAGACTCAGCTTCTTCTCTTCAGGTCACAAGTATTGTCTCTGCTCTACTGCTTGCTAAGTCGATAAAAATAAATCAATAAATCACACGGCCTTCGTAGTCACCTGCAGATCATTCATTTCTTCGAAGTAGATTGCTTTAAACTGCAGATAAGAATTGTTTCAGTTTTTTCATTTAATCCTGTAAAACAATATGCTTTCAGATATTTGGTGACTGAAACTGATAAGCCACAATCCTTCTAACTTTAGCCTCTCGAGCTATCTTTCTATGAATCTAATGTAAATAAAAGGAAAATCTCACACAATCCAATAAACTATATAGATAAAAAGGTCATGACAATTCGAGTGTCATTTTTTGACTGTATATGTAAAATAGCATTGTGCAGTCCTAGTATACAGTGTTTCACATGAAATATTAAATTTTATTATGTTTATATATATACATATATACAAATAAATATATTTTATGTATTTATTAATAAATATACAGTGTTATAAAGAAAACAGAACACATCTGAATTTGGAATAAACAAACCTGGAAGTAATGTATTAAGATCATCCTTATGTTAACCATCATACAATGTTTTGCAATGTAAAAAACTGTTAGGTGGGGGTCAAATTAAGCTGCTAATATCAAGGTGTGAAATAAATAAAAGGACTTGGCTCTTTGCGTAATGTGTGGTTGAGCTGTGGGACTCCTTGACAAAGGGTGTTGTGGATCATAGATTAAACAGTCCCATGGATCAGTACAGATCAGGCTTTGAAGCCTGGGAGCAGTACAATGCCCACAAAAGACCTTTGGAAGACTTTTCTGAAGCAAGAAATTGCACTGTAAAGTGAGGTTTGAAAAATCATACTGCCATACTTAAAAAGAAAAAAACTGTTATCCACTGTTAATTTGGTGGCAAAAATGAGCTCACAGCTATGTGAGTTACTTGAAATATATTCTTGTTGGCATATATGTTTCCTTAACTGGAAGTTCTTTCTGAAATAATTGCTCTGCGATCCTGTTAAAGATAAAGTATTAACTTCACTTTGGATTTTGGTCTGCAGCTTAACTTTCTGACTGTGCTCTGAATATGTATCTGGAAGTAAAGACAAGCACCTTTTTGGCAATGCAATGAACTTCCCAAAGTTGTTTTTTTACTTCTCTATGATGCAGCTGTTGTTTCTCAGAACAGAAGGACAATTTACATCTCATTTCAACAGCTTGCACAGAGGTCTCAGTTCCTTTTCTGTTGTGAAAAGACATGAAAAGGTCCTTTGCTCCACAGAGCTGATGTTCTGTTACAAGGTGAGGGAGAGGGTGCATAAGACTCTCACCATTTGCATACAATGGAGATATGTGATTGCATGTTGCAGTTACATGGACAGACCGGACCTGTCACCTTCAGAGGAGGTTCAGCACAAGCTGAAACTGTGTGAGTGCTTTGCTGTAGACTAAGGGACAGTACTTTCCTCCTTAAACTTACAGTCTTCCACAGTTCATTTACCAAGATTGTATGAAAGGGAAATTATTTACCCCAGAGTAGACTGCACAGTATTCATTTTATCCTGCTGAGGAGGATGATGTGCTCAATTGACCCTGCTGTGAAAAGTAGAAGTCATTTTAGGCTCACTTCACTTTGCAAACTCAAGGGAATAGTTACTATGACCACCAATCTAACTTATAAATAATCTGTAGGACACAAGACTGAGAAAATGAGATTAAGAGTTGTCAAATGGAATGATTAGTTATTAATTATATCACTCCCTGAACATTCCCCCAAGTCTCTGGAGATGCTGCACCTCCTTCTCTTTCATCACAGGTCATGTAGAAATATGAGCCTTAACTATTAGTAGCTTCATCTGGGTCCAATCCTTCACTACCTTAGATCTCATAAAGTGATTTTCAACGGAGCACAGTGGATGTAAAATACTACCTTTCAGAACATTATGCTTTCTTTGCAGAAGTATTAGTGGCTTTTCAAGATGCAAGGAAGTGGAGAAGCAGGTCAGCTGTCACTAAGAGAGGATGATTAGAAAATGAAGTGTTCTCCAGTTCATCTATCCTCTCAGTTTACACATTTTTTTATCATTAATAAAGACTACTTAGCATTTATTGTCCCCCCAAAAACATCTGGAAGAATTTTCTGTATATTCTTTGTAGGGATTGTCCTCATTGCACAATACAGTGTCTAAATGAAATGACCGGCCTAGCTCTAAGGCTGCTGGTTCTGGTATAAATGTAGTCTGCATATCAGGCATCAGAGAACTATATTAATGCAGTTATATTACTTTTAATGGTTGAGCTAATGCATATGTTTCTTTGCAGCGTTAGATAGTGCTGTATAGACATACCTGTAAAACATTGTCTGCATTGAGAATTTTATCTAAATTGTAATTCAAGTATTACTCCTAATATGAGTTTCACCTGCACACAAAGTCCATTATACTGATATTCTCTGCTGTAGAGGTAAAAACTACAGTTAGCATGATTTGCCAGCTGCTAACCTAAGCGCTCTTCACTGTGGATACAGACTAGATCTGCTTAAGGGTCCCAGTCCTAAAATGCTTTCCAAAGTCCCTTTTCTGTGACTAGAAAGAACAAAGACATCCTTCCCCATGACGTCAGATATGAGAAAGTGTAAAGAGTGCAAAGCATCTTCTGGCACTACACCTCTAGAAATCTTAGTTTCACTATCAAACAAGAACAGAGGTGTGTAGACACACAGCTTGAGTACTGTTTCAAAGTGTGATTATTCTTCACTTGAGTTAGTTTAACATGTTTTCCAGTGCAGAAGAATGCAAGTGAACGCTACAGTAAAAGCATACTCTAACACTGATGTGATTTTTACAGGTGGTCTTTTTCACTGTAGGGAGGGAGTGGAGGAGGGAGATCAACATCTTGGCAAGACAATTCAGGTATGAAAACACACAATGAAGTTCTTGATGTATAACAGCAAAGTCTTGGTAGCTTTAGAGTATATGTTATCTTCAGACATAAAGGAGATTTTAAAGCTGTAAATCAAGCCCTGGCAATATATGCAGATCTTTGGATTATAAGTGCCTAAACTACATGTCCTTCCACCCTCAGTTCCTCTAACTTATCCACCCAACCTCTAACTCCTCTCCATTCTGTTGGTCCCTAGCTACAGCTGATTCCTCTGGGTTCACATGAATAGTGAACTCCTGCTCCACTGACAGTAATGACAGTTTTTGAGGTCCACAGAATCAGTTTCTTTAGAAACTTTGAACTGTTAGGTATGTTCATGTATGTAACAAACCTGAAATGTACTATTACATTAGTTGTCCTGTTATTCTACTTGAATAGATCACCTAATATCCCAAAAGAATCATAATTATTTGAAAATGAGAACCATATATTAGAAATAGTTAACATTTCTGCTTTAATCTGAATTTTTCATTTTTTTCTCAGTGAACCATATATTTTGGAGAATATTTTATAAAGTTTGATCCTAGTGAAGACAAAAATACAAAGTAAACTGATCTGCATACATTTTGTTTTGCTTTCAGTGAAATGGCAATTTCAAATCTGCTCTTTTTTTCCCTGAATCTCAAAAGATAACAATTATATTTTTTTCATTAAAAAGGTATTAGTAAAATCTTCATTATATCTGTCTTTATTTCATTAATTAATATAGGATATTTTAGACTGTCCCTATTTTATTCCATGTGAAGTAAACATAATACTGCTTATCCAAACATTTTTAATCCCAGGCTGACTCGTTTAATCCAAATAGTATTTACATTCGTCTTGTGAATCACTTATGTAAGCAGCTTTCTATTACCCAAAAGTTGAATCTGTCAAAGTTTATACACTTAAAGCATTATGGCTAAGTTATTCTTTAGTCCATGCAGAATCAGTGACACTGTTCTACTTTGGATGGAGCTTTTTGGAACATCTAAGTGCTGAACAGTCACTTTATAGTCTGCAGCTTGCTTGTGTAGCCAGCAAGTACAGCAGTCTTTATCATGATCAAACCCAAGTGCATTTGTATACATCAGCGAAGAGCAGTAAGTCATGCCCTACTTTCCTTATAGGCTTGTGCACCACTGGTTTTAAAAAAGTCATATAGTTGAAAAATAATCTAATTCAAATAACTCATCCTACTCTGATGTTACTTTGATACATCTCTTATATGACATTCAGGAACCTCTGTAATACTTTATCACTAAAAAAAAATATGATGTTTCCTTTGGAATTCTTGTGAGAATTACTCAAGAGTGTAACCACAGTCCTAGAGAAGAACACTAATAGGTGGTATTGGGGAAAACCACTAATTTCATAATCAGTTTAAAATATGCAATAGATCTACTGTTTTCAGAAGGTTGTGGGACATGCCCTTCACTTAAATTCACAGATCGGTAATAGAAATAAGACATTGACCCTATATTAATAAGAGCTCAGTGCTTCCAGAGTATGTGTCCAATGATGTAAATATATCTTCCATTTTCTATGTAGAAATACTATTCATTGGTTTCTTCTTATTGTTAGCTATATTCTTTACTTAAATTAGGATGGATATAGAAAGAATAATGGTAAGTAGCCACTGTTATGAAAAATATATAGCAGAGTGCCAATTCTGTTTTAGCAGCATCCTTTCTTTCAGGAAGATGATATATGAAAGAGATGAAGGTGTAGCAGTGTTTTCATACACTTGCTAATTTATTATGTTTGCATAAATATTTAATACATCAATCTCTTTCTAGAAAGAATATGATTTGCATTTCAAGTCTTGTAGTTTTTTTGCATTTTCTTTAGCCTAAATCCTACCAAAACTTTAATTATATGCTCAACATCCACAAGAGAGGTGATTCATGTTTTTCATTGCTTGTTGATGGTCATCAGTCTGATCTCCTGAGGTCAGCACTGTATGTGCTAGTGGCCTTAATATCTAAAAGGTGAGTAAAGTTACTGCATTTTTATTATTAGGAATCAGACTTTAATATTAACTGGAGAACAGATATCTTTAAATTACATTAAAATAATATAAAGAGACGAAAAATATTGTCTAAACTCTCCATAGGTAGCCATGATATCCACAGATATCCACAGCTGGAGAGGCTAGCAGCATATATTTCAGACACAGATACATTAATTTCAATAACTGACATAACCACAGCTGTCAATCCATTTTCCAACTCATACTCATTTAACTCAAGGAGTGCTCCAAGGACAACTATAATGAAACAGCCTAGGAACAGGAGAGGACACCCATTGCAAAGGAATGATGAAGACAACTTCCATCACGTAGAATTTTCCATCTTCACAGTAAGACATCTCCTTTCTCTCAGTATTATCTGCAAAAGTATCTGCTATCTTACATTGCCACAGGGAACATACTTACACACACTGTGTGCTAATACACACCTGCAATGATATCCATAGACAATTTCAGCTTGGTAAGTTAGTATCACCCTTTTTGTCTGGCACTAGCATTGCCATAAGGCACCCATAGACTGTCAGCACATATATTAATCTGGTTGCATCTTCAGCCATTGAAGCCTATTAATTTTCATAAGATCATGTACAGTTTATAAAGGACTCTCAAGTTACATTTGTCAGAGAAAAAGTTGCATTGTTTTTTTATGAAGTGAATGAGAATTCAGCTTGGGAAAAGGGTGTCAAGGGGGAATTGTGAGATGTCACACAAGCTGGATAAAGATCACTAATTTAGGAACTCTATACATCCTGATCATAAGTGACAAGTAACTACAGATACTTTCCCTGGGCAGAGGGCCACTTAGTATGGTGGTTCACTAAGCCACTTTAGATAAAAAAATTACAAGGAGAAAGCAACTCTTTTGCATAACTTGAGAAGAAATAAATGAATATAGGTTCTGCTGAACTGCCAGCAATAAAATGCATTTTTATATACTTATATAATTATTTTATATAAATATGTATCCATATTGCATGGGGATTATTATATATATTTATAATTGTGTCTGGTGTCCATATATTAATGGAATAATATATAAATATATACTTAAATGCTTTAAATGTCAACACCTATACCAATTTATTTCCTGTTCTGTTTTTCTTTTTCTCCACTGAAGCAAAGTGACAATTTATTCTATTTTTTTAGGGACCTCAGTGACAGGGAGGTGATTTAGCAGTCTCCAGCAAAGCAGTACAGAACTAGAGTCTGAGATGTTCATACTCATTAAACCAGTGTACTACCTAAGCTATCTCAGATCTTCATGTTTCCATGGAATTATTTACTATGCACTACCACAAGATCACCCTGATAGTTCTGTATATAACCTGTTGCCAGCATTTCATCATCTATCCGCATTAATACTTCAGCAGACAACCTTTAAAAAGGCTTTACAAAGAAAGATATGGAAGGCACAGCAGAAATTTCAAATTGACAGTAGCATTTGTCAGCTGGAATCCTCTGGAATTCAGAAGTCCTTCATGTTATTAGGTGTCTAAGAAGCAATAGTTCTTTTTAAGACTGACACCTACATACTTTCTGTAAAATAGACAAGTATACTAAGGGGTCTTGGAGTGTATTATGGCCTAGTTTTGTTCCTTAGTAGGTTTAAACATTTCAAGCATTCTGTAACTTCCATTCAAGTAGTAGCAAAATTTCTTTGTACCTTGAAGAAAATTGATAATACTCTTGTAATCATGAAATTTCGTTAATAATTAGTAATATAGGAAATATTCAGTAAAATCAAAAGGTGAAATTCACTTCCTAACAAAAAGCTAGCACAAAAATTTTACATCTCCTACCTACCCCATGGTATCTCATAAAATGTTCTTAAGTGTCTCATGAGCTTGCTGGCATCAGCACAGGTGTGGATATCATCTGATTTCATCCATAGTATGGTATCTAGCAACTTGCTTATGGCCAAAAATGTCACAGTTTTCTGTGCAGAAATAAAATAGATATTTGTTTTAAATAGAAATTCGGTCTCTATTTTTTCAATCATTTTGTGTTCTAATTATAAGTCTAATTCGTAAACAGCACATGCTGAGGTTTTGACAGTGAATGTCTGATGAAACACAGAGTACAAATTTTAATTATATACAGTTCTAATACAGTGAGCACTGCAGCATTTCTGTCATCTTTGAAATGGTAACAAAATGTAAAAAAAAGTTTTTTGAAATATGAGCATGAAAGTAATGAGATCAATAAATGTCAGCTAGAAAAAGTAATCACAACTCCAGAGACTCACTAACCTTTCTACAAATTCCAGAAATAATAGACTAGCCTGGATGAAGAATCTTTAACAATGGGAAACAGATACAATTATAAGGGGAAAGCGAGCCAAAGACTGCTGAATAATACCAGAAGCATTGCCTTTTAAGTAAATGAGAGAAAAACAATCAGTATTTTTGCTTTTCCTCCTGTGAGCCTCACCAATGCACTTTTCTTTGCACCTTATGAATTTGAGAATGAAATATAATATAAACACATATGTAAACCTAGAGTAAAAATATGAAATATGGCATAAAGTGCAGGAAGTAATAACAGTTTTCCAAACTGATGACCTGATCCTTCTCTCAGAGAGACAGGAATGTTAGAACATTCATTGACCTCCATATAAATTCCAGATACTTAACACTCCAAACATTTGGTGGCTTATGGTTTCTAGGCACAATTTATACAAACTCAGAGCTTAAGCATGAATTAATTCAAGACAAAAAACTGTGTGTTATGTTTTAATGCCCCATGGTAGAATCTAACTTCTGTAAGAGAAAACATATTTCATGTGCGAAGTGTTAGATTAAGTAATATTTGAAAGGACAATGTTGGTATTTTTAATTTTTTTTAATTAAAAGTGCAAGAGGCATTGAACCTGAGGTGAAAAGGGAAAAGAATTAAATACTTTGTCAAACCTATCCAGATGGGCAATAACTTTTTTTTGAATGAAGCATACAATTTTCCTGAAAACATATTAGCATTTTATGAAGGATATGCAAAAGGCACTAAGGATTTATGTATATAACACAGTTATTTTAGGGAAACTGACTTTAAAAAAGAGGGGTAGAGATAACATGGAAATTAATTCTAATTCTACTGTCAATTTAGTCGGGTTTTTTTTTCCTCAGCATTGACTGAACCTTTCTGGATTTTGATATTGAAAATGAATGGGCAGAGATTAAGATCCAGTCATCAGTGTCCACTCAGTGTTTGCAGGCATATGTGTGCTATTTTTAAAATTATGATTTTCAAATGGTAACACTGACGTAAAACCAGCTGGAGGTATTAGCAGTTTGCAATTCATTGTTCAGGTGCGAATCTGAAGTAATAAATGCAAAAGAGCTCCATATAGAACACACAAAGTATTCCAGTATCATCATTCACTTTTATGTTCAATGCTTTCTACTTTCTATCATTCTGTATGTCCTGTTAAAATGAAGGGAACTGAAGAACTTAAGTACTGTTTTTGAAATGATGTGTCTAATTCCATACACATAGATTTTCTCCTTTGCTTTGCTTAAACTACGCTTTTGAGTGTGAGTATTCACTTATGTGCATATAACATGTGCATATAACATTTTTTATACATAACATTTTACATATATACACATGTATATAACATTTTACACACACACATGCTTATGTATATGTGTAGGTGTATATAACATTTTGCAGGACTGCAGTTCCTGGAGAGAAGTAGCTCTGCAGCTGGTGTGCAGCCTAATATAAAGTAGCAGATGCCTGTTATAACAACCTTTTTTTTCAGCACAGAGTAAAAGAAACATGCATCATAAAAGCTGGTTGTTGAGGGCCACTTCAGGAGCACAAACTGGATTTCAAGTCAGTGTTATTGACCAGGACTTGCCCTAAATGTGCTGCGCCACCAGGAATACAGAAGAACTGCAGGAAGGGATGTGTACAGGAGCTTCTCTGCTCCAGCCACCTGTGGCTGTGGAAGCAGCTGTGGATATGTGGGTGTACATTAGATGACTCACAAGTCTCTGGGTAGCTTTGGAAGTCAGTGCTATGTTAAGAGACCAGATATCTGTGTAATGATATAGGAGCAGCCCAAAGCCAGCAGCAGTTGCTGGAAACATGCTTAATCCAGGTAAGGAAGAAGCCTTCAGCATTCAGCTTTCAGAAATACAGACAGGGTAAGTGGCAGTTAAAATGCTGTGTTTTGCATTCCATCTCCCTACGAAACCAAAACTCAAAACAGGTGCTGCGTACATGGGGACCTATCTATGGTTTAGAAGCTATGTTTAAGGATAAAAATCTTTTCAGCCTATGATTTTAAATGAAGTGAGTTTTAGTCAAATCAATTTTTGCCTGTAAAGGCTTTGCTGTGGCATATTCTTCTTCATGCAGGGTTGCTCAGAGCACACTTAAGTAAAACAGACTGCAAAGAGATGCAGAAGGATCCTACAGGTGACGGGGCAACAGAATAGCTGATGAAACCCAATGTCAATAAACGCAAAAAACCTTGTATGGGAAAAGTAACTCAAAGTACTCATCCAAGATGTTGGTTAATTACCTATTGCCACTCCAGGAAGAAATGTTGAAGTTCCTGGATAGGGTTGTGTAAAATACCAGATCATTGCACAGCAACAGTCAAAAATGCCAGTCAAATGTTAGAAACTGCAAGGAAAGCATTGAAGAACAAAAGGAAAACATTTCAACAAGTTCTACTCTAAGAGCAAAGGGAAACTAGACTGGGACTGGAGAAGTAGGAATGGTGCACAAGCTGAGCTGTGGATTACTGTTTCCAGTTTCTCAATATGAAGAAGTATAACAAAAACATTTAGAAGAAGCAAGCTTAAAACAAACAGAAAAAAATTCTTTGCACAATCCATCATCAGATTATGAATTGATATGGGAGGTTTGTCAGCAAAAACTAAAAATGGAGTCAGTTCCTTTCCTGCTATTGAAGAGAAAGGTCGAAATGCAAATATCAAATGAAGAGGTGCCTAAACTACTGATTTGTTAGAGACAGTAGCATATTAGGAGAGCACAGGCAAATTTAAATTTTCTTGGTTTATGGTACTTTTCTCTAATGACCATTGTCAGAGATAAAATACTAGACATCACAGCACAAAAGATTTTATGTTCTTAGATTACAATGCAGTTATAATTTCTGGTCCAAATTATGTGCTTATTTGAAGCTGGGTAGAATTGACATTCAAAGTGGCTTTGGCAGACTGAAAACACAAGCTGACAGAAACTCCATAAAGTTCAACAATGACAAAAGCAAATTTCCACAGCCAGTACACAGTAACTCCATGCAACAGCACAGACTGGAAACCAACAGGCTGAAAAGGAGCTCTCCAGAAAAGGACCTGGGCGTCCTAGAGAAGAAAGCTGAACTGAATCAGCAGTGTGTCCCCATGGCGATGAAGACTAACAGCATACTTCTCTCCTAGCAAGATTGTAGGCAACAGATCAATGATTGTGATTAATACCCTTCTCTTGCGAGACCATACCCAAGTACTGCGCCCAGTTTTGGACTCCCTAGGATAAGGAAAAATTTAATATACTGGAGTAAATCCAAGACAATAGCACACTGGATGCAAGGAGACGGTGAGGATGCTGGGTATGATGACGCTAATTGTCTAGAGCTGTCCTGCAAAACAAAGCACTGCTGCAATACCAAGGTAGAAAGTGGGAGGCCCTTCGTATTTGGCATCCAACTGACTTGTCTGCTAAATGTCTCACTTTCTGCATTCACAGCACACAGTATCTCAATGATAAAATAAAAAAAAAAAAAAAAAAAAAACCCACAGAAAAACCGATGGAAAAAAAGGAGAAGAAGTAAATTAGACTTTCATCTGATGGCCCAGTGCAGGTGTCTGAGCTGTGCACAGTGGCTATCAAGACTTCAGACAGGGACCAGTGATTAGCTAGGTTTTGGACAGTACCAGTCAGGAAGGATCTCTTCTTGAGCTTCAAAAACATTTCTCTTTTCAGATTAGATTTGTCCAAATTATAAAATTTAACTCATACCCCAAAATACAAACACTATGCACACATGCACATTCATGCTCCTAGTCAGCTGTGGCAGTGGAAAACTTCTGCTTTGATGCTACAGCTTCAAGAAAAAAATCTTTACAGTTGCACCAGAATTGAAAGTTTCCCCTATTACAAGTATCTATAAACCTTTAAACTTCTCAATGCCTAGATACAGCTATTCATTGATAGCTTTAGTTCTCACTTCATAGAGAGACAGTACCTCCCTACCCCTTAAGGGAAGACAAGTTCCCTACTGTCAGCCTGTAAGAAACAAGGTTTCTGCATGGACAAGAAGGACTGTCCCAGATGACAAGTGCCAAATGAAGGTAGAGAGAAATCACACTAAAACAAACTCCCTGAAGGACCTGAAGCCAAGATCCAGTTTGGATAGATCTATATTATCATAATGTTTTCAGAGGTACTTTCTGGCAGATCGCGTTAAGGAAGATCTATTTCTCTAGTTTACCACAAGGTGGAGGTGCTGTTACTCAGAATCACTCATTAAGCGATCAGGAAAATGGTGGGTGTTATACAACAGGCACTGTAAAATTTTATGGACATATTTAAAAAAGTAATAAAAAATAATTGTATGCAACTGTGAGATATGATTTTA